CCCGCCGCGACAGCACTCCCCGTCCCGCTGTCCTTCCCTAGCGTCCCTGCCTCTGGCCTGCACGCTGCCAGCCCTCCCTCTCGCTCTGCAGCCACCACAGGCAACGGGGAGCTCAAACACTGCTTTTCTCCGCCTGGTGCTGCCCTTGACGCTCTGCCTGGCCCTGCACCAGGGCCTCAACGCGTAATTTTCCTCATTTCTGAATAAAGGTAAAACCTGCGCCCTTCCCAGGCCACCAAGAGGTTTCATGTAACTTTGAAACCTCCAAGTACCGCACAATTCCTCATTACAGTTAGCTCTTCTTGAAAGCTCAGCATTGTGCTGGTTCACCTCCACACTGCGAGTTTCTTTCTCAGACTGGCTGCTGTGATTTTGGGGAAAAGACTCAATCCAGTTCCCCACTACAGAGAAAGTGCATCTGGACCCAAGCGCCTCACGCCCTGCCCCTGTGCCATTGCCCCCTTCTCCCCCAGGTTCTGCCCCAGACACTCACCATTTTGTTGTTGATCTCATGGAAGTGGATTTCACACACTTTTTCCACAATGTCTTCACTTTCAAATGTGACAAACCCAAAACCTGAAGAAAAGGCAAAACTCCTTGATCAGGTCAGAGTTCTGCACAGTTTGCACCCGCTACCCACATCCTTTTATTGGCAGGAGAAGAGAAGGAGCCACAGGACAGTATCATCAGCCTTTTCTAAAATGGCTGTCACTCATCTTCCCTTTCCAGCAAATCCTGCTTTTATGCACAAGAAGAACAGGCGCATCCCCTTATAGATTCCCCTTTCCTCCTCATCCTGTACTTCCCACCCTCTCTGAACCCAACTGCTCTCAAAACAAAGTACATTTTTTTTAAACTTTGCTATTTGCAAGGCAAACCGCATGGCTGATAATGCTGGGGAGGATCCCAGCAGACAGACGCTCACACAAAGAAAGTCGGTGGAGAAATGAACAGCTGCTTGCCAGGACATCACCATCCTCGCTAAATGCACCCCACCAGCAATAACACCCTGCACGTTTCCTCTTCAGTCACCAGTCATAAAGCCTTGTATAAGCAGGCAAATACCAGCAATGCAGTTGTACAGAGCAAGACAGATACACACAAGCAAAGCGATTTGCAAAGTTTCACCAAAGTAAGGTTAGTGTCTGGGGTAAGACAGGACAGGATGTTCCTGGCCCCTGGCCCACACTCACACCTCCTTTCTCTCACCAACCTCTTTCCTGACAGTTTTGGCAAAGACCAGCTCGGGTGGGCAGACTAAACTCCTCTCAGCTGACTGCAGCCGCTTCCGGAAAACTGAGGCAGGTGGGAGGATGTCTTTAAGCTTGCTTTACAAGCAAGCTGGGATTAAGCAGAGCTTTCCGCTTTCCAGAACTGGCCAATTCCATAGTGCTTTAAAATAACTTTTAAAAACAGACAAGGGATCTGCTGCCTAGAACCCCACTTTTTCTCCATACTGCCAGAAAAGTCTCTCTCCATAGACTCCTCCATCTGTCTGTCCCCAGGCAGTTACACACCATTCACCTCAACACCCACGTGCGGAGGGGCTCAGGAGTTCAAGAGCAAAACCCTGATGCTGAAACCAGTCCTGAGCCCCATCAGACCCCCACCAGGCCTGCTGCGCCCTGGACAGAGCCCCACACCGCCGCCACAGCAGCTAGCAGCTCTCCCTGCTCCTTCTGAAATGCCTGACAACTCTTTAATTGGACTGTGACTGGAAGGCACCCATGGAGGAACAGGGGTTAACACTTCTTCCCTTTTAGATGAAGCTGGAACAACATCCTAGGCCAAGCAGTCGGAGTAGACTTAACGGCTTTAGAAAAAAGCAAAAACTTGAAGGGCACACAGTGTAGCGAGAGCAGAAGGGAGCGTTCCCTTGCTGATCCGGGGGCAGAGGTGCTTGGAAGTGCTTCAAACAACACACAGACATGAGAGTGGCCCCAGCACAGGGCTGTTACTGGCCCTGATTTGGAAGGCACTGAAGCTAAGTTTGCAGGTTAAGTTGCTGCCAATAAATCTCTGAGCTGGTGCAATGCTTGCTAGTGTCGAGCCCTGCCATGCTCTGGGGCAATCGGTCCAAAGACTCACCGGGGAAGTGGGAGGCAGGGACGCCCACGGGTGGGCTGGGTCCGGATAGCACAAATATTAGAGCCTTGCTCCCATCCTGTAACCAGACTCCACCAGCAAAACTCGGGTAAGAAGAGGTGACCTGGGAGCACAAGCGGGCTCCGGGCCGAGGAAGGGCGAGAGGCAGGCACTCTTCAGGCTCTCGTGTCAGCTTTCCCGGAGCTCAGATTACTCGGGACAAGGTAAGACACACACTGCGGGCTGGAGCCACGGAGGTAAGCGGGCAGGGGAGGGGGCCGCCTCCTCTCATATCTGCAACTCGGCGAGTTTGCAGCACAGGAAACGCACCGGACAAAAGCTCTCTGTGCTGCAAGGGACGCTGGTAAAGGATGCAGATGCAAAAGGATGGGGCGACTGGAGGCAAGATAAAGAGCAGCTGCGACCCGCATGCCCTGCTGCTGGGATACTAACTCCTCCCTACGCAAGGCAGGAGGCAAACCCTCCGCGGTTCCCTCTCCTACGGCCAGAAGACGGCTCTCACCTCGGTGTCGGTTGGTTGTCTTGTCAAACATCAGCATCGCGTCGTCCACCTGCGAAGAAAAGAGCTCCGGATCAGATTATTGCCGTTGCCGCGAGCATCCTCCAACACATTTGCGCAGAGCTTCCCGGGCCTCCCCAAACTAGAAGGGAGCAAGACGAGACCTCCCATC